GACACAGACAGACAGACAGACAGACACACACACACACACAGACACACAGATAAATCACTGCTCTGCTTCAGGGTCAGCACAGTGTGTCAGACAAAACATCCTGATGCTATCTGGCTGGACAGAGTCAAATAACGTGGAAAATCAAGACATGCAATGACCAGTGGCATGAACCAAGTGTTTTTTAAACTGGGGTTCATGGGAAAGGTTAGAGAGAAAAAACAATGAATAAATTAAAGTATATAATAAAAATGTCATTAAAATTTACAAACGAATTAATAATAAAAGATATTAAAATAAATAATACATCTAAAAGTATAGTACTATTGTGAGTAGGAAAAGGAATGTAAATAAATTCATTTATTCATTAACTAAAATAATACAACAATAAAAAATGTATTAAAATAAATGATTCAATAATAAATATGGATTAAAATACATACATACCAAAAACATATATTTAAATAAATAAAATAAATAATACATATAACAAGTACAGTACTATAGTGAATATAAAAAACCCCTGAATAATTTAAATGTAAATATTTTCCAAATATTTTTACGCATTTATAATATTAATAATATTAACATTAATTGAAAAAAATGTATAAAGTATTAGGTCCTCAGACAGACAGACACACACACACACACAGACACACAGATAAATCATATATATATATACACACATACACACTTCTTTTTTATTTCAGCTAGTTGCCAAGGACACATTTCTTGTTTTTATTTTAATTTAACTTGATGTGCTAAAATAACTAAGAATTACATAGACATAAAAACCCCTACAGAAAATGACAAAACCACACAGCAAAATTACTCAAACTTAAACTAAATATAAAATATATATAAAATAAAATATATAAATATAAACTAATTCAAAATATATTAACCAAAAATATCTTAGTATCTTCAGTATCTTAGTGATACTAAAATTACACTGGTGTTTATGGCTTTTTTTTTATTTCCGATACTCTCCTTGTTTTATCTTTATTTAGTTTTGATATGTTTTTCAGCATACCATAATTCTGTTGAAAGACATTACCTTAAGTCTGATATTGAACACACTCTTCCCTTACAGCTCTGGGTTGTTTTAACTCCATAAGGTAACATAAGCTCATAGATGCGGTTGCCGGGTAGATTCTGTAAGTGAGTTTGAGATGATGATGATGATGATATATTGCACTCACTCCAGAGAGTCGATGAGTTTCTTGGGCTCGACTGGAGGAGGGTAGATGACCTCGTCGATGTGTCTGCGGTTGCAGTTGGCGTAGGCAGTGGAGATGTGGATGAAGGCCTGCAGGTGCTGCATCTGCTGCGCCAGAGAGAGGAGCTGCTGCGTGGCGATGACGTTCAGCTGCAGCGCATGCCTGCGCAGACACATGAAACACCGCCGCATACTCGCATCACACAGCAGAATTCACATCATGATCGGCAATATACTGCCTGTGACAGAAACTAAAACCATGCAAAAAACATTTATGTGACTTGAAATCAAATAAATGTTAAAAGCGACAGAAAGATAAATCATTGCTCTCCTTCAGGTTCAGTACAGCGCGTCAGACAAAAACATCAGCTCACTGATGCAATATGTGACCCAGGAGCACAAAACCAGTCATAAGGGTCATTTTTTTGAAATTGAGATTTATACATCATCTGAAAGCTGAAAAATAAGCTTTCCATTGATGTATGGTTTGTTAGGATAGGACAATATTTGGCAGAGATACAACTATTTAAAAATCTGGAATCTGAGGGTGCAAAAAAATCTAAATATTGAGAAAATCATCTTTAAAGTTGTCCAAATGATGTTCTTAGCAACGCATATTACTAATCAAAAATTAAGTTTTGATATATTTACAGTAGGAAATTTACTAAATATCTTCACGGAACATGATCTTTACTTAATATCCTAATGTTAATGTTAAATATGCAAACAAACAAAAAATAAACAAGTAAAACAAGTAAATAAAATGAAATAAAATAAGTTAATTAATTATTTAATATATAAATTAATTTAAATAAATAAAGAAAGAAAAGAATAAAATAAAGAAAAAGTTATTAAATAAATAAATTATAAAAAATACATAAATAATACATCTAATAGAGTGCTATAGTGAGTAGAAAAAAAGTAATAAGGTAACGTAATAGAAACAAATTATTTATTATAATTATTTGGGGTAGACCCAAAATATATAAATAATATTAAATAAATAAAAATTGATTAAAATAAAGAAATTAATGAAAAAAAATATTTTTTAAAAAGATTAAAAATACATAATACATTTAACAGTACAGTACTATAGTGAGTAGAAAAAGTAATGTAAGGTAATGTAATAGAAACTAATCATTTATTATAAATTTTGCATAGAACCAAAATATATAAATTGTATTTAAAAATAAATAAACAAACATTTGATTAAAATAAAGACATAAAAAATTACAAATACATAAATAATACACCCAACAGTACAGTATCATAGTGAGCAGAAAAAAAGCAATAACGTATTGTAATATAAACTAAATATTGTCCAACTACAATACACAGTTTATGACAGGGTTATTAAAATTAACTAAAACTAAAACTATGAAATAAAATAAATGTTAAATGAAATAAAATATAATATTTCTAATTTTTGTTTCGTTTACCTTAAAATACTGAAACAACTAAATGTAAAACTGAAATAAAAATTAACTAAACTTTACAGACATATTTTTAAAAAAGACAAAAAAACACAACAAAACTGCTTAAACTTTAAATATAAAATTATTAAAATACAATTATTTATTAAAAACGTATTTGTACAATTATAATAGTATATTAATGATACATGTCCGAGATGCTGCTGGAGTGAGAGGACTGCATTCCTCACATTATGACACTAATGCTGTTATTATTTTCCTTAGGAAAATGAAGCAAAAGGTCCCTGTGAACAGATGTGTGTGTGGAGGAGAGCAAAGCTTTCCCTTACTCGATCCTGCTCTGGAGTCAGCGGTTCAGTAATGAATCCCTCGCTCCTCCAGCAGTGTGAACATCTGCTCCTCAGCCGGAGATTCACCACACAGCAGAAGTACAGTGTGTGTGTGTGCTTTCTCTCTCTTATTCTTCTTATTCTTCAGGGTATATACAGGAATCATGGAGTTAAATTTAATACCTTTTAAGACCTTTTTTAAGACTCTTTCCATACATTTTAAGACCTCATCGCCAATCCAAGTTTTAACCGGTTACATCGGCAACACTTTAACCTACATTTACTATATATTGATTGTAAGATAGCGCAACTAAACAGACTTACTTTGTGATAACTCCTTATCAATACAACATAATGCAGAAGTGTGGAACGAAGCACAAGAGAATTAAGACTAACCCAATGCAACCCTAGAAACAAGAATTAGACCAATAAACAAAACAACTGACAAAACTTATTGAGGAGGGAAAATAAAGCTCTCCGAGCTAACGGGGCAATGAGTTCACACAGTATATTCAAAAGATGTATTTGTAACATCAACTCTTATAACTGTCTGCAAACCATAGCTGTTTTGTGCAACACTTCTCATGACAAACACCTGACTGATCAGACAGTTTACCTGTGATTACGGAGTGCTTGATTTGATGCAGACTTGACAGAGTGTCAGTACTGCACCTGATCAAGTCTGAATGATCATGGAAGGTAAAATTATGATCACAACTATTACATCATTTTAATTGTGCATCCCAAGCCCATGCCAGTAAAAAAAAAACAGCCCAAAGTAGCGCAATTACCAT